TCTGAAACTTTATCCTGAATAAAGTTGCCACTACATAAGCTCTCCAAGATGCTTTAAGTGCTCCAGGATGCTACCCTAAGTGAAGAGCATGATATAAATCCAAGCTGTTGTTGTACATAAATCAAAGTTGTTGTAGGACTTTTGGAAGGGTGAATGGTAGTGGCATTTACTACCCAGCCCTGCAGGGGGAGCCAGTGAGCTTCAGCCACTCAGGTTAAAGGTTGGTTTTGCTTCAACCTCTATTCCTGTTGCTGCTTAACAGGAGTGGAGGAGTGGGGATGTTCTCCAGGCACAGAAGTGCTATAAAATTGTCAATGTAAAAATAAATCAGTGTCAGAGAGTTGGACTGGGGAGGAGCTCCAACTCCCAGTGTTTACTGGGCTGAGACAGTCCTAAATTAATTTCACATGAACAACCAATCAGCCAGAAGGCAGAGGAAACCTGGCTTCCCACCAAGGTCTTGAGGAGAATGGCCAAGGTGCTCACTGCTACATCAGGGTATGTGCGGGGGCACACATGTATGTAGTGCGCACAGTGGCGTTTGCCGACTGGCTCAAAGGGAGCGTCCCAAAAATGTTTGCACATCATGTGTGTTTGTTAACCTGCCCGCACTCCCCATAAAGGGGGGAGGGCGACAGAGAGGAAGGGGTTTACAAGACCCCACTTGTAAAAGCGCTCTGCAAAGGGCAGCAGAATCCCGGGGGGGAGAAGCCTTGACCCCTTCATCAAAGTGAAGTGCATAGAAGCAACCCCCAACCCGCCCCAAGGAGCCGGGTCTGTTGCGTCCTCTAATGGGATAATAACGTTGCGCTATTTCTTTCTTGTCACAGAAATTTGTTTCTTTTTTGAGATAAGTGTAAATATATATTCTATCTACAAGTAAATATATAGTATATTGTTAAAAAAGGGCTTACCTAATGCACTGTATACACTACACGTCATAGTAACATCATGTGAAGCTCTTTGAGATATCTCAACAATGTGATAACAATAAATACAAATTTACATTCATTTGGTACATTGCTGGATAAGGCGCCATATCAAATGCAAGCTTTATTTTTATTACCTGGTTCACTCTTCTCAGCTTGACACACTACCCTTTTAAAACACAGTAAACCACAAAAGAGGTAAGATACTGTCAAGTCCAGTATCTAATATCAAATTGATTAATTAAACAAGGAAGTCTATTACAAAGCTGGCACAATCACATTCCTATTGTCAGTGACTCACCTTTCCCACTTTTGTTTACAAATTTAAGTCTCCTTGTGCATAGGAAATAGCAGATTAGCTAATGCTTTTATCATTAAAGAAAAGGACAGCTGCAGACTTGTAGAAGGATGCTTAGGTAAGGTCAGGTGTGTAGTGTATCATGCAGAGCGGATCACTTTCATCCACTCTTCCATTCACACGCCAGTGTCTGGTGAAATGATGACTTCACACAGTAAAGAAACTGAAGTGACACCAGTTAACGCCCAGTGACTAAAGGACTATTATTGCATTTCCAGTTCAAATCCAACACTTAAAAGGGTTTCACTATCCAAAATGGGAAATGAAATCTGCTGCAAAGTATAGTTGCTTTGATAAGATGCACTGATAATCCAATTTTCCTCAGCAAAAAGTGCACAATGTCAACAACACGACAATTGGAGGTGAGAGGAACTTTCAACCCTGAATCTGATATTCTTGGCACAAGTGCAAAGCACCTTCTGTTATTATGCGTCCATTATAGCAGTGCAATGGGATAGTCACAGGACACTCGAGACAAACTAATTATTAAAAAAACATTAGCAGTGATAATATGTGGAACTGTAGCACACTGAACATCCACACATTTTGTCACCGTTAGGTCTCGGAAACCAAGCTTCAAACCAGTGTCAAAGTACATCATTGTCCATCCTGTATGAGACTCCAATACCAAGTCATCGCTAATATACTCAGGCTGACACCAAGGCATTTAAGGCCACAAGGTCGAATAAACATACAGTATTCTTTGAAGCTTTTTATTTTAAAAAGTTCCACATTTGAACCGTAACATTTAGAAAGAGTCAAGAGACTTGGTATTGTAAGAGTGAAAGATGAAGCTCATGTTACAGAATACTGGCAGCACAACAGATCACAACACAGGCAGTCAGTCACTGCTTCAGCATGCTCCACCTTATACAATTCCCGGACTCTCTTCATTTGCCAAATGTCCTCAATTTTCAACTGAAGGACAGGTGTTTTTTTTTGAACAAACAAAAACGAATTGAAGACAGTCCCCACATGGCTGGTTATGCAACTGACCCTCACTGGCAGCTCCAGGTCTGCACACAACACAGACATAGACACAAGGGAAAAACGATTACACAGCTCAGACACGTCTGATTCTCTCCCCACTGCCAATATAAACTGCATCTTTAACATTATAATCCATCTCCACATTATAATCCAATTCCTGTTTTGTCACAATTGCTGTTTGTCACTCGTCTGGCCTGACCTTGCAAGTCAGTTTATGAAGAGGTCCGCTAAATCCAACGTTGCCAAGCAAAGCACGTAGTATCATTGAGGTAAAGTTAACACAAGGAACACATTATGAAGTGTCACAAACTTTACCCCGTAGATATTTACAGCAATAGGAAGAGGCCATTCAGCCTAAATATTATAATAATAATCCTTGCATTTGATATAGTGCCATATCATGTCTTTGAGACGTCCCAAAGTGCTTCACAGAATATACTGCAAAGTGAACTGACTGTATATTGTGGGTGAAACGTGGCAGACAATTGTGCACAGCAGTGTCCCACAAACAGTCATGGATTGAGTGACCAAATTATTATTTAATTAACGGATTATTACCCTCAAAAAGCGATCCACCAATCGCCAACAACTGGATTCCTACTGCTGGGTAAATAGAGGCGTGTGGGGTAAGAAACTTGCCTAAAGTTTCACCCTGTCCAGGAATCAAACCCAGGTCCTCTCGCTTGCGAGGCGAGTGCTCTAACCACAAAGCTACAAGGCTACATGAAACAAGGGCTAGTTCTTACATTGGAGTTAATGTCTCTAATGTTCTGCTCTTTCCCCAAAGCCTTTTACATTCTTCCTCAAATGATTATTCAATTTCCTTTCAAATGTTGTTATTGTCTCAGCCTCTGTGTCCACTTATGCAAAAGCATTCTAATCCCAATAGGTCTGGATTACGAATTGCACTAAAACCCTGGCTAGCCAGACAAATGGTGGGTCGGTGGGGGGAGGGAGGTTTGGTCCAGTCCGATAAGCCTTATCGTGTCTTTGAGACGTCTCAAAGCACTTCACAGAGTATAATGTGAAGTGAGTTTACTGTATATTTTGTGGGCAAGATGTGGCAGCCAACTGTGCACAGCAGTGTCCCACACACAGTTGTGCATTGAGTGACCAAATTATTATTTTTTTTGAAGGGATTATTACCCCCGGAAAAGCGATCGGTCAATTGACTAACAACCGGGTTCCTGCTTCCTGCTTGGTAAATAGAGGTATGTGGATTAAGGAAACTTGCTCCCTTAATCCTTTCTACCCCACATCTGCTCTATGACCTGCTCTGCCTTCCCCCACCTCCGCAACGTCGCCCAGCTCCACCACTGTCCCACACCGCAGGCCGCCGAAACGCTCATACATTCTTTCATTACGTCGAGTCTCGACTATGCAAACTCCCTGCTTGTCGGCCTCCATAACTCCTCTCTCCACAGACTGCAGAATCATCCAGAACTCTGCAGCCCGTGTCCTCTCCCGCACCAGACTCCATGACCCTATCACCCCCATCCTTGCCCAACCCCACTGGCTTCCCATCACACAGAGAATACAGTTCAAGATCCTGGTCCTCACTTTCAAAGCCCTCCTGGTCTTGTTGCCATCTACCTCTGCGACCTTCTAACCCCCTACCATCCTGCTCTCTCAGCTCTCTCCGGTCTGCTTCATGTCCCCGGCCTCGCTTGCCCCACTATTGGCAGGCAGGCCTTCCGCCACTCTGCTCCCAGCTCTAGAACTCCATCCCGCAGTTCCTCCGCCTCGCCCTCTCCCTTGCCTCCTTCAAGAGCCACCTCAAGACCTTCCTCTTCGACGGTGCTTTCGATCTCCCTACTCCATCGCTTACCCTCCATGACCCCTGAAGCCCCAGCTTGGGTCCACAACTCTGTCTGTCCAGCGCCTTGGGACGTCCTCCCGACGTGAAAGGCACTTTACAAATGTAATTTTGTTGTTGTTGCCTAAGGGTTCGCCCTGCTCAGGAATCAAACCCAGGTCTCTCGCTTTTGGAGGTAATGTTCATTCTTTCTCCCCCACATCCGTGTCATGACCCGCTCTGCCTTCCCCCACCTGGGCACCATTGCCCAGCTCTGCCATTGCCTCACCCCTCAGGCTGCCAAAACCCTCATTCACAGGTTTATCACATCTAGGCTCGACTACGCCAACTCCCTGCTTGTCGACTTTCCCAACTCTGTCCTCCACAAGCTACAGTTCATCCAGAACTCTGTAGCTCATGTACTCTCCGCGCCAGGCTCCGTGACCCTATCATCCCCACCCTCTCCCGGCTCTACTGTCTCCCCATCCCTCAGAGTTCAAAATCCCTCGTACTCTTCTCCATGGCCTTGCTCCTTCCTACCTCTGTGACCTGCTAACCCCATATCAACCTGTCCGCTCCCTCCACTCAGCAGGCTCCAGACTGCTCCATGTCCTCCACCCGGCCTGCCCGCCCCAACATCGGCGGCTGGACCTTCAGCCTCCCTGCCCCTCAAGCTTTGGAATACCATACCACAGCCTCCCTTGCCTTCTTCAAGGCATGTCTCAAGACCCTCCTCTTCGACCGTGCCTTTGATCATCCACCTCCCCTTACCCTCTGGCATGTGGCATGTCTCCCTGCCCTCCACCCCTCCTAATCCCAACCCCCTGCTCAGGTCCAAATCCTTGACTGTCCAGCGCACTGGGCTGTCCTCCTGACGTAAATATGTGTAATTTGCTGTTGTTGTTTCTCTGTGCAAAAGGTTACTTACCTATGCTTGTTGGGAAGATTTCTTCATTGTTGATTTGGACCTCAATCCAATCCATCAGAAGGCTCATATAATGTGGGGCTGGTAGTGCAGTGGGCCTTTTATACTTGTGATCATCTTGCCACCGATATTCATACTTCTGTCCTCCTGACATGATGGGACAGCTCCTCTCGGTGCAGAACTCACATATGGTCCCATAGATCAGGTTAATACGATTAAAGAAGTCCACCACGTGAACAGCAATCCAGTCGTTCAGGTCTTCACCATTGGGCAGCTGGACAGCACCTTTTAGGTCTACCCCTGAGCTTAGAGAGGCCTGAGCTTTCTTATGCAGTTCAAACCTTTGAGTGCCCGGCTCAAATTTCCTCTTTGGCCGAAACGTCTTGTCCTTATTGAACACCTGCTTCAAAGCTATTGACATGGTCAAAAGCCAGTTGGCTCGCCCAGTAAACACAAACCAGCCAGTTGTTAATAACCAAGTCTTAGCGGTTTCCTCCTTTTATTGTCAAAACTTCTCAAAATTACTTCACAATGCTGTTATTTCCAATCGTGTTTTTTAAGGCGATTGATTGCCTTTTCCTGTGGGGAAGAAGAAGGAAAACAAAGTTGTTTAGATGGAAAGTGCTATTCAAGTGGAAACTATTTAAAGTAGGCATTTAAATTTCTAGTTTATTTATTCGATGTGTGCTGGAAGCTTGAGAATAGCATTGTGTTGCTTTTTAAAAACAAATGTGAATCATAACAACATGTTCTAGTAGAAAAAATTTGGGGATTTAAAGGCATCAAAACTAAGTGGAGAACAGTTACGTAAACACGGTCTAATGTAGTGGTTCTCACTAACTGTGGGGTGGGGGTTACAATTCCAAGCAGCAACTTGTTCAAGATCCTGCACATTCCCCCAGTGGATAAAGGCAATGCTTCCTGCAGCACTAGGCTTTAGAAATCTAAAGCTGTTCTCAGTGCCAGGCCAGAGCAGTACTTGAGGTGCTGTAATTGGCCTCTACAGATTAGAGAGGACACTCTACCAGCTTGTGTTCCCACGCCTAATCAATGTTCAAAGATTCCTGTGTGTGAGGACCCCGAGCGAGAACAGCATCAGGCTCACTGAATAGTCTACCAACACTCCAGTTTAGGTCTAACACTTAAATAATGCATCCCTTGGGGGGGAAAGTACCAGATTGACACCTGCAGAGCAGCACTCCATCAGAAAAGAATACGAAAATCTTCAGCAGCAGGAGGAGAGGAATGAAAAGCAGAGGCACAAAACTGGCAGAGTAAATAAAATCCTTACTGGGACAATAATGCAACATGTGTCAGCACCCAATTGGTGAGCTCCTAGTTTCAATCGTTCCTTGTGGACTGTTGTCAAGTGCTGTTGTTGTCAGGCACCTTCCCATTATAGGGGAAGAAAATCTACATGACTGATATTTTTTAAGGACCTTTAGATTCAGTTCAGCATTTTGACTTGATCCATGGATGTGGTGAAAGGCTGATGTCTTAAAAGTATTCCTTCTCTTTCACTCATAGACAGCACGAAAGGAGCGAGAATAGCACTGAATCTCAACCGCAGCAATATCACTTATCTGGGAAGTCATCATAGTATAACTAAAGGAGGGCTGGGTCACAAATAATTCCTGGGCTGACTTGTAAGTTCACTGGTTTAATGGGATGTGCAATGATATCTGTACAGTAAACAACCACAATATCTGCTCATTAAGTCAAGGTAAAAAATAACAAAAAAATTATCTTCATCAATTTAGAACTGTATTATAAAATTTCACATGCACAGCTCAGTATTCTGGTAATCAAACAGAATTGGAACTTTTTATTAATATTCTAAATGGAGCATTTAAAGTCATAAGATTTTAAAGGGCACTTGCTACCGTGTGATGTGTTCAAACAACATAGCACAGCTTTTTGCTCAGGTTGTAATCGGTGCTTGGAAATGATTACTTTTAAACTTAGCTTCAGAAGAAATCCAGAGAGGTTGCATGATGGGTCATAGGCTCTGATCATAAACCTCTGAATATTTGGGGAAAGGGAAAGAGAGGGAGGAAAATACTCCTCCAGTCCCTGAACCCAGCAACCCAACCATTCATCTCAATGGTTTTGCCAAGTCACCTTGTGAAATGCTTAGAGACGTCAACTCAATGTGAGACCTGTATCAAATGAGAGAATTACTATTTGAGGGAAGCCTACAACAATTTTGTTTGGAGAGTGAGGTGGGTGGGATCAAACTAGGTCAGCTCCAATAATGGTGACCAGATGATGGTGTCTGTGTTTATGCTCGCTTTGTTCTAATTGCGGTTTTGCCACAGTGCTATGTGTCATGGTTCAGCTGGGACAGTGTCTTGAGCATGTTTTGGCGAGGGGGTGGATTGTCTACTCGATTGAGGTCACACAGTCTATTCAGTTACTGCCTTCAACTGGTATTGTAGGTAAGCAGCTGGTTTCTGCAGGATAGTTTTACTTAATAATAGTGTCAACATTGTCATTTGTTTATCTGATCGAGAGTAGTGCTTCATGTACTTATTCTCCCATTCTCAGCAGTCTTCTCTATTTCAGACCGTGTTGAAAGCATAAAATGAGGTAACTAGCATCTTATCAACCGCAGCTCCTCATTCTGCAAGGAATGATTCAATATCTGAAGTGCAAGATTTGTTTACAACACAATGCCAGTGTCCACAGGGTGCTGAGACATTGCCATCTGTGAAGCTACCATATCCTCTTTCTGTCAGGCTGGATTCATGTCATTCACAACCAATGCAGCCAGTCATCTTTGTCAACCTAATAGACCACAATGCAGACTCAGAACACAATCCTCCAGGGACATGTGTTTTGTGTTTTATAACAAGATGTGCAGATCACAATGAAAGTGATTAAAAATGTAGAATGGAGTAAAAGACAAGAGGTAAGAATGAATGTGAAGTTTGGGGGTGGGGGGGGAATTTTTTTTAAAAAACGGAAGTTTTATAGTAAATGTTTGTATAGTTGAATTATGGACTGAATTCTTGCGATGTTACGCTTACACACACATGTAATTGTGGGTTTCAGTACTACAGGATACTGCATTTAATTTAGTTCCTAAAGAGGGACATACAATAAACCTTACATAAGTCTTATCAGTTGGGACTGTACATTGAATGACTAACCAAAGTATGAGTTTATGTAAAACTTATAAATAATAGGAAAAGTCCTGGGCAGATGTACAACTTGGGCGATTGTACGATTTATACAGATTAGACTTAAGAGAGTTTAAAAAAATAAACACGTTTCACTGTATTTTCCTAAAGTTATACATTTTAAACATGTGGATGACTGATAGCAACAGGATAAGACATTTTGGTTTTGGGTTATTTCACACAGAATGTTTTTTTTAAATTCTGCAATAGTTGTGTCAGTGGGAGTGTAAAAGCTGCTTTAACGCCTGCTCAAGTTTCTTTACAACCAGTCCACTCCTTGATCTGCACTGACGATGGCAGTGCAGAAACAAGTTACGAGTTGTTAACTAAAAAACACAGCGTTCACCAGAGCACATATTAAAAGAGCACCAGAGCATTATATTAACAGTGCCTGTGAAGAGAAGGCCCAAGAGAAGTGTGTTCCAAGCTCAATATTCATTCTCAGGAGGCCACATTCAGTTAAGAGGATGATGGTATTCAATGCTGTTGACAGAATTGCAGTGCAAGTGTTTGGAAACCAGTGAGAAAGTGCTGCCAAGATGGATCCCCTGAGGTACACATCCTCATCCAACTCCACTGCCTTCCCATCACACAGCGGATACAGTTCAAGATCCTGGTGCTCACCTTCAAAGTCCTCCATGGCCTTGTTCCCCCTACCTCTACAACCTCCTAAATCCCTACCATCCTGCCCAATCCCTCCACTCAGCAGGCTGCAACCTGCTTCACTTTGGTTAGTCATTCAATGCCCAAGTTCCCCTGTCTTGCCAGCCCCACCATTGGCGGGCGAGCCTTCTGCCACTCTGCTCCCACCTTCTGGAACTCCATCCCACAATCCATCCAGCTAAGGCCCTCCCTTGCTTCCTTTAAGACCCATCTCAAGACCCTCCTCTTCGACCATGCCCTCGGTCACCCTCCTTCCATCCCCTGTCCTCCACCCTCCCCGATCCCGACCCCCAGCTCGGGTCCAAAACACTGATTGTCCAGCACCTTGGGACGTCTTCCCAAAGTGAAAGGTGCTATACAAATGCAATTTTGTTGTTGTACAAACATCTGCTTCATGTCACCCAGCAAAATGAACCTTTAATGCCAGTCTGCTTTGAAACACACTTATGTTTGACATTTACACCCAAAAAGACATAAATCAAAAGGTAAAATATTTTTTTTACTGCCATGCAAATTGGTTTTCTGGAGTATTTAAAAATAACAATGCCCCTTTCAATTTACCCAAGTGACCACATGTGACCTACAGTACAACACAACTTTGGGAATGATAATGTTTAGCCTAGAGTCAAGGAGTACAGGACTATGTATGTGTATGTTGCGGGGGAAGAGTGACCATGGATTTGTACAATTCACAATCATATGGTGATGAGAATTTCTGGAGGATTTAGCCATCAACAAGAAATTGCTCTTGACAGGGTCTAATTTCTTCAAGCACAATGGAGTCTAATATTTAACTTCAAACATGGTTGCTTAAGGGAGTCCTGTTTCAAATCACTGCAAATTAGCCTCAATTCCAGCCTTCCCAGAAGCTGAATCCAATACTTTGTTTATCTTGCACTTCTTCCATTTAACTAATGTAAACACAAAATAAATATAATTCTTGCCATTTGATATAGCACCTTATCAAGTCGTTGAGACATCTCAAAGCGCTTCGCAGGATATACTATAAAGTGGTGTGACTGTGTGTATTTTGTGAGCAAACACGGCAGCCAACTTATGTACAGCAATGTCCTACAAACAGCCATGAAGTGAATGACTAATTTAATTGTAGGGATTGTTGTCCAAGACACTGGGAGAAACTCCCTTCTTTTTCCAAATAATGCCATGGGATCTTTCACATCCATCTGAACAGGCAGTCAGGACCTCGGTTTAATGTCTCACCTGAAGGACAACACCTCTAACAATGCAGCGCACACCAGCACTGCAGAGCCCACATGAGTTTCAATCCCTGACTTGAATTCACAACCTGACGTGGGGCTTGAATTCACAACCTTCTGACTCAGAGGCAAGATTGCTAACTAACTGAACTAGGCTGACATCTAAAACCATGGGTCACAGTATTTATAGGAAGATTTCTACTTACTCTTGAGAGGTATTGCTTCTCCAGGCCAGAGGTCTTCCTCTCTACACACATTGTCTTGTAATGTAGCCTTTTTTGCTTTCTTATGAAGGGAACCAGAAAAAGTGGGTTGAACCCACATCCAAGTAATGTATGGCATAAGCTTTGGATAAAACACATATTTTAAAGGTGCTCAGCCAGCTGTATGAAGCGTCCTCTCGACATGAAAGGTTTTGTATAAATGTAAATTACTAATAATCCTTGCGTTTGATATAGTGCCTTATCACATCTTTAAGACATCTTAAAGCACTTCACAGAATATACCGTGAAGTGAA